CCAGAATTCCCCAGGAATTCTGGGGGTTGAAGTCCACGCCGCCTAAAATTGCCAAAGGTGAGGAACGCCGCGCTAAGGAAAAGAAAGGAAACAGCATCAAATCACTGGCCAAACCAATCAACTCGAAGGAATCTGGGGGGGGGGGGGGGAGACACGACAACACAGGAACATGAGAAGTTAAGCCAAAGGGCACCTGGTCGGAAACAGGGCCTCTGACCCCAGAACTGTGGCTAGCCTCCCTTCCCAAGAGTTTCTCCAATGGCAGACAGGGAACGCAAGGAGTTCCTTCCCTCCTTCCCTCCCTCCCACTTCCAAAACGTTAGCAAGCAGGGTCTTGGGACACGGGTGTGTTAAGCGTGCTTACGCAGAGAAGCACAGGGATATGCGTTTGCTCCAGGAAGTCATGCTTCAGGCCACACACATCAGGGTCTCCAAGTTCTCTGCCAGCCCCGGCCCCACCAAGAAGGACCTCCATTCAGGGCCAGCTCGGCTCTCGCCTGTGTGTGTGTACTAACGGCGTGTGAGTTTATCTAGTGGGGGGGGGGGGAAGGAGTGGGGGGAGGAGTTTGCTGTAAACTCTTACAAGAACCACATTCTAGTAACACATCAAGGGAGGAGGGATGGAGAACAATGGGGGTACTGTGTAACGTGGGGCGGGGTGAACACAAGGGGGGAAGAAAACACCCTGGGAGGAACTTCTTCCAAAAAGAGAGATGATCCGAGCTGACTCCAGGCAGGAGCCAGGGAGGCTTTTTGGAAATGGATCCTAGATGACAGATGGGGGGGTGGGGGGGAGGACTGCTATTTTGAACTTGCCAAAAATACCTTACAACGTCTCTTTGTGTCTTGCTGCAAGACTGTCCAAATCACACACATGGAGGTTGGCAGGGAAGCCTTTTAAAAGCCTCAAGGCTGCCAATGCTGCTTTTGAACAGGATGCAGGGGGATTTTACAGCTTCAAGAGCTCTAGAGCAAGGAATGGGATCTTGCAGCCAAGTTTAAAGGCCTGGTTCAGGAGGAACCAGAAGGAACGGGGACTCTGGAGGAGGAGGAGGAGGAGGAGGAGGAAGGAAACAGGGCCCCCGTGCTGGGGCTCGGATTGACCACGAAGCTTTCTCCACGTTAGGGAGAGCTGTGCGTGGAAGGCCGTGTATCCTGCTCTGCCTGCAATTAGGAAAGTGTGGATTTTAAGGCTGGGGATGGTTCATATTATTAACAGGATTGGGGCCAATCCTTCGAGGAGTCCATCATGTTGGGGAAGGTGGAAGGAAAGAGGAGGAGGACAACCGGCAGCAAGGGGGATGGACTCGATGGGCTGCTGTGGAAAGAGCTGAAGGACCAGGTTGGGGACAGATCATCCTGGAAAAGGTCTATTGGTGTAGTCATTCAGAGTCAATCCATACTTGATTACATATAATCCATCAATTTGGGACATAATCTTGATGGCAGATAATCCATCAGTTTGGGTACAGCAGAAGCAAACCCTAGCATATCAGGGGGAAAGGTTCAGCTAAGTATGAATATTTATTTTTCCATAAGCAGCCAGGGCTGTTGTTGATCGTTATTAGAAAGATGCATTCAAATCAGTAAATCCCCCATCGTTATTAGCATCTAGGAAAAGCTTGGTCTTGGTCACTGAATGGGGAAGGAGCATCTAAAAAAGCATCTCTCTTAGAGAAAGAGAAGCCAGTTCAAGTTCAGAAGACGTCTGCTGCACGAACGTAGCCCCGGTTTAACATGTTGTGTTCCTCCCCTTGGGATCTGCAGCTCTGCGAGGAGAGGAAAGCTTGCTGAAAAGGTCACTACATGCTCCATTCCTGGGAACTGTGAAATCAGAATGATCTTAAGAAGGTGTCCTGTCTTAGCCTCGCTCCACACAACTCCTTTTCTCTGTTTAACATCCAGAATCTCAAAGAAAATGAGCCAGTTTGGTGTACAGTAGTGGTTGAGGCACCAGCCTAGAAATCGGGAGAGAGTTTCCCACCCAGGCACAAAGCCAGCTGGATGACCTTGGGCCAGTCCCTCTCTCTCAGCCCCAGGAAGGAGGCAATGGCAAACCACTTCCAAAATCTTGCCAAGAAAACTGCAGGAACGTATCCAGGCTGAACGTGGTACTGATCTGGGGGAAGCTTAACTGTATTGCTTAATTGATTATTGATTGATTTTGCTTTCCATTTT